AGAGAGAGAGAGAAGGAAGGTGAGAAAGCAAGCTACCAGGTCAAGGACTTGAACCATGGTTGGCCATGTGAGAGTCCAGTGCCTTAACCACCATGCCATCTGCTGGCCCTTTAGAGTTCATTCTTAATTTTTTAAAAATCAGTTGGCTGTGGAATTTTTTTTTTTTGAGAGGTTTTTGCTCTAGGGCATGTGTGCTCTCCAGAAAGAGAGAGGCAGAGACACAGGAAGAAATCACTCCCCAGCAGGGATGGCCATGTTACAATCCCTTTTCCATTCTCCTCTTGGGATCTTGGGCACACATGCACACATGCCCGGCCTGAGTTTAAGCCACAAGGTCCAGGACTTGAACCCTGGTCGATCGCATGGGAGTCCAGCAATGTAACCATTATGCCATCTGCTGGTCCCTAGGCTGTCTAATTAAAAACTTCAGAGACCATTACATTTGTTGGCAGAGGGTTAAATGGCCATTAATTTTTTGGTTGTTGTTGCTGTTTTTAAGAATTAGGTCAAACTATACATGCAGCTGGTTAAAAACTAGCAAATCCCTCGTGAAAGTTTTAAATAGTGGCCCTCCATCCCTCCCCCAGCCCTCAATCTTGTTTATAAAAGGCTGTCTTCGTGTTCAGTGCTGGCCCCGGCAGCGCACATACTGAAACTGGAATGACACACAGATTAGCATGGCCCTGACACAAAGGTGACACACATTTGCGAAGCGTCTCATTCATTTTGGTGGAATGTTGGGTGTACTAACTGCCCTAATTCAATCCTTGCACGTTGCATCCTTCTGTAGCAAAATTGCATTGTGCCCCACAGATATATACCACTATTAAGACAATTAAAAAATGAAAAATAAGTCCAGCGACATAGCCATTACGCTAACTGCTGGTTCCCGAGAGGTTTTTGCTATAGGATGTGTGTGCTTGCCAAAAAGACAGAGAGAGACAGAGAGATAGAAAGCGAGAAATCACCCCCCCCCCCCCGGGGGGAGGGCCACCCCCATCCTCCATTCTCCTCTCGGAATCTTGGGCACGCACGCACACGCGCCCGGCATGAGTTTAAGCCACCGGGTCCGGGACCCGAAACACTGTGGACTACATGGGAGTCCAGCGACATAGCCATTATGCCAACTGCTGGTCCTGCTACTGCTGTCATTTTTATGTGTAGAAAATTTGTCGTCTTGTGGGCCAGCTGGTAGCATGAAAGTTAAGGTGGCTGGTATCATATGGCCAACTTCCTGGTTCAAGTCCCAGACCTGATGGCTTGAAAAACATGCCAGGCGTGTGTGTATGCATGCCTAGAACCTGAAGAGGAGAAGGAATCATAGTGTGACCATTCCTCGTAGGGGGTGATTTCCCACCCTCCCATCTCTCTTCAGTGAACACATATGCCCTATGGCAAAACTAAAAAATAAAAAAAGAAAGAAAAGGAAAAGGAAAAAAATTGCCACCTTGAGTTTTCAGTGTCCTCAGTGGTGAGTCTGTGCAAGGTGTTGCTGAACTGACTTCTCGTCCGTTTTCATCTCACGGAAACGAAACTCTGTATCCACTGAGCGCCCCCCCCCCCCCCAGCCGCTGGCCACCATCATCCTACTTTCTGTCTCTGAGAGCTAGACTGCTTCAGATCCCTCCTGTAAGTGGGAGCATACCTGCTTGTCTCCTGGTGGCTGGCTAGCACTGCAATTTTTTTTTCTTTTAGTTTGCTATAGGGCATGCGTGTTCCTGGGGGAGGAGAGGACGTGAGAAAGCAGCCCCTCCCCAGGGGGCATGGCCACACTGCAGTTCCCTTTCCTCTGTTCCCCTTGGGACTTTGGGCACACAGACACCTGTGCCCGGTGTATACCTGTACCCTTTTCAAGCCTCAGGTTCTGGACTTGATCACTCAGCCAGCCATGTGGGATCCAGCACCTTAACTGGAACCCACCCCCATCTGGCCCTGCCACTCTCCTTCTTAATAGTACGTTTCTGGAACTTCTCCATTTGGCCCTACCACTGTCCTTTTTAATAATATGCTTCCGTGTCTGTTTCTCCCATCAGCTCCTGATAAGTTACTCTCTCCCTCCCCAGCCCACCTCGCATCTTCCCTCCTTTTCCCTCCTCTGGAGTGATAGGTCATGTATTCCATAAGGTTGAAGGGGAAAAGCAGAACTGAGGGTTTAAAGCCTCATAAAGCAGCCCCCCTCGCACTCACGGCCCAGTGCCGTCTCCCGTGTGTAAACGCACAATTTAAAAAGGCGTCCAACCCGAAGCAGCAGCGCGTGGTTGGCGGGCGGCGAGGCAGACGCTGTCCCCGGCCTTGCAGGGAGCACCATCATGTACGGGGCGCTGCTGCTGTTCGAGTCGGAGTTCGTGCACATCGTGGCCATCTCCTTCACCTCGCTGATCCTCACCGAGCTGCTCATGGTGGCGCTGACCATCCAGACCTGGCACTGGCTCATGACGGTGGCCGAGCTGCTCAGCCTGGCATGCTACATCGCCTCCCTGGTGTTCCTGCACGAGTTTATCGGTGAGAGCCCTGAGCGCGGGCCCGGCTGTGGGGAGGCGTCTCCCCGGTACTGACGCATGGCCTGGGCTCTTTGTCCTGCACCCTTTGCTTCCCACCATCCACACTGCACTGGCGTCCCTCGGGGCAAGTGGTGGTCGTGGAATTGAGCACGTAGGGCTGGTTCTCTTGACGGGTGGAAGCAACATCCCTAATCTGAAATCTGAAATGCAAAATAATCTGGAAGTTTCTGACTCTGACATGATGCCCTCTGGAAAATCCCACACCTGACCTTGTGCAATGGTCACAGCCAAAACACTGAAAGAAAACACTATATAAGATGCCTTTAGACGTGTAGAAGGTGTACACGGAGCGTTAGTGAATTTTGTGTTTAGGCTTGGATCCCGTGCCCAAGATAACTCATTTTATGTGTGCAAATGTTCTCAAATTCAAAGAAATCTAAGATCCAGAACCCCTCCAGTTCCAAAGATTTCAGATGAGGGATACAAAACCTACATAGGGCATTTGTTTTATTTTGTTTCTTGAGTGTTTTTGCCTTAGGACAGGTGTGCTGGCTGGAGAGAGTGACAGAGACAGAGACAGAGAGAGGGAACATGAGAAATCACCCCCAGAAAGATGGCCATGCTGGGGTCCCTTTTCCTCATTCTCCTGGGATCTGGGGGACACATGTACACGTGCCTGGCTTAATTCTCAAGCCACTGGATCTGGGACTCGAACTCCGCTTGGCCATGTGGGAGTCTAGCACCTTAACTGCCACTCCACCTGCTGTCCCGTTTGGTATTTTTTAAGTTTCTTCCTTACATGAGGCTAGAGTGCGCAGAAGCCCTAATGGCCTTCCACGTCACGACCGTCCTGCTGGCCTTCTAGCCGGCCAGATCGTAAGTGCACCTGGTATGCTCAGATTCACCTGGAGTCCGGGCCCCGGGCCTTCCCACGTAGCTGTGGCCTAGCGCGGTGGCCCCTATAGCCTACGGCAGCATGGCTGTGCGTGTGTGAGTGTGTGTGTGTGTGTGTGTGTGTGGACATGCAGCGCGCTCTGGCATGGAAGGGGGATCCATTTGATTTAACAAGTAGCCGCAGTATTCCGGCCACCGTGCAGGCATTTGGTGGGGGTTCCGGGGAGGCCAAGCATCCAGCCTTACTCTTGAATAAATGGTAGTCCGACAGAGGGCCCAAAGCCATGCCCAGCAAAGCTGAGGGGACAACAATGCCCTCTTCAGTGTCATGCCTATGCTGATAACTTCCCCAATTTTTTTTTGGCACAAAAATCCTTTGTTGCCATGAAATCTTAATCAGAAGTCTAATCCACAAAACCCTAATTAGGCGAGAGGCGTGGACTTGCTACAGGGCGTGGCAGTGCGGGGACGTGCCACCCCAGCTCCGGCCTGGGCTCTCCCTTGCCGACTGGTGCTGACACGGCCCTTCAGTGCCCTGCGGATCTGAGTGAGAGCCACTGCTCTGTACAAGCACGCTGACTGACAGGTGTCACCAGCACTGGGCCTCGTCCACTCAGGCGACCGCCATGTTGGGATGACAGTGGCACATGAGGTGGGCGGGCTGTCCTAGAGCTTTCCTTCTCATTTGGACACACAACAATCACATACATGAACGTGTGAGTGTGGGGATAGCAGATGTGAGCACAGCTACCGAGGGCCAAAAGCAGGGTGCCATGAGAGACCCAGGCAGACCCCAAATAAAAAACACAGAGTTTATGGACAGGAAAGTGCAGGCCCCACCGGGCGGGGAGAGGCAGGGGAGCTGATCTCTCTGGACTGTGGTGCTTGGGGGAACCCTGGGTCTGCTCACCATCTGGCCTGACAGGCCTGGGTTCTTCTCTGCCAAGCTGACCTCTCACTTGTGTTAAGGTGTTGCCAGACCAGTTCAGGTCAGCCGGGACTGACCGATCAGCTGGGAGCCAAGGTCCCTGCAGGGCACCAAGATGGCCCCGTGCCACGCTGGACCCCTGAGTGCCGACTCGGGCTCCAGTTCCTGTCCAGAAGCCTGTTTCTAGCTCAGCTCATGAACTTCCAGTGCAGGCACAGTCGAGGCAGCCCAGCGTTCTCCGAGCTGTGCCTTGAGCGGCGGCTCGGGACTCTAATCTAGCTTTTCCCTGCAGGGGCAAACTTGGGAAGCTCTGATTTCTTGACACTTGCCATGGGAGCCAGTGCTTTGACAGCCCAGCCCCGGGGCCAGCAGATCAGATCTCCCTGTTGTTTTCACAAAGCAAAGCCATCTACGGCTCTCTTCTTTTCCACAGAAGCATTTGGGTTTCTTTTTTTATTTAAACAAAACCAAACCCCTCAAGGCACGTTTTCCCTTTTATCAAAGCTGGGGGAGCTTAGTCCCAGGCTGCCTCCCTGCTAGGGTAGGTGCTCAGCTGCCTGCCCGGGACTGTGGACAGGCTTTCTCTGGGAAGCTCTCATGGCCCCCTCCCGACCCGCTCTACCCCAGGGAGACCTGCAGGGGCAGCGGTCCTCTGACCCTGGGGTGTAGGGTGGTTGTCAGGCCCCTGCACCTCTGCTTCCTGTTCCCCCCCCACACACACACACACACTGGCATTCTCAATGGGGGCAGGGTAGTCCCCAAACCCACAGGAGCCAAAACTGGTCTTGGGTCGGTGCGATCAAATCTCGCTCCCTTCACCTGTGAAGTGCAGAAGTGGGTGCAGCCCCCCAGATACCCAGCCTACCAGCGGCACTGAAAGTCCTGCGGAGGAGGTGGAGTAGGATCTAAAGGTCTAAAGGGCGCCTTGGGGTGGGGCGATACTCAGAGAAAGATCAGGAAACCGCTTTGCCGTGGAAGCATCTTTGATCACAGCTCTACTCTGTCAGCTTGGAAAGCTCCTTCAGAAGGTTTTAACAGGGTAAAGGGTACCCGTAGGAGTGGGTTTCATCGTAGTCTCACACTTGCCACAGTCTCCTGGAAAGGGTTTTGTGAGTACCTACTATGTGCTCGGACTTGGGCCCATGAAGGTCACAGGGTTGCAGTCCTGTCCTCGCAAGGCTTGGGTTGCCTTAAAATGGACTGCAACGTGGGTTGAGCCCTGGGCCTGGCACTTAGTAGGAGCTTAATCAGTGCCAGCTGCATTTTCACATCCTGTGTTCGGGAAGAGGGGAAGGGGTTTGCTCTCGACTTGCATCGTTGAAGGCCACACGTTGTCATTCCTCTTGAGAAAACCCCTGACTACCAGCTCTCCTGTCCTGAGGTCCAAGTCCCCGAGGGCCAGCTGTCTGACAGGGCGTCCCTGCCCTCTGCTTGGTACCTCGCATCTGTCTTGGAGCTTCCTGTGAAGGGAGAGAGTTGCCAGAGGCTGGAACGTGCATCTGAAGGCCACTTCTGCTCTCTCATGGCCAGGTTGAGAAAGATTCCAAATCAAAAACACCTGTGGGTTTTCCCCCTCAGTGTCCTTCCCATAGTTGTCCAAAAATGTCATGTCGCTGACTATCAGGAACTGGCAAAGCAGGCCATCGAGAGGAGAGGGCGGGGAAGGCGAGCCGGCAGTACAACATCCCTCAGAGAATGAGTGGAGGGAAGGCCCCTTCCAGGAGGCCGTGTGCGTGGTGTGGACAGCTCTTCCTTTGGTTGCCGGGAATGAGTGTTCCTTTTTTTTTTTGGAGAGGTTTTTACTATAGAGCACATGCTTTCGTCAGAGAGAGAGAGAGAGAGAGAGAGAGACAGAAAGTGAGACATCGCTATCCCCAGGAGGGATGGCCACATCACAGTTCCTTCTCATTTTTCACTCTAGGGCGCATGCGCTCGCCAGCGGCGTAGGTTTGACGCCTGGGAGTCCAGGCCTCGAGCCGCGGTCGACTACATGGGAGTCCAGCGACATAGCCATTACACTAACTGCTGGTCCCTGAGTGTTCTTTTTCTAAAAAATTAATTGAGTTGTTATTATTAAATCTGCTGTAGGGCAGGTGTGCTCACCAGATACAGAGGGAAAATGAGAAAGCAAGCCTCCAGGTGCAGGACTCGAACCTCAGCCCTGTGGGAGTCCAGAGCCATAACCACCACTCCACCTGCTGGCCGACTGCCCTAACCACATGTGCCTCCCAGCACGGCCTGCCTCCTCACCGGTCCTCTGCTTGCTCGCAGACGTGTACTTCATCGCCACCCTGTCGTTCCTGTGGAAGGTGTCCGTCATCACCCTGGTCAGCTGCCTGCCCCTCTACGTGCTCAAGTACCTGCGCAGACGGTTCTCCCCGCCCAGCTACTCGAAGCTCACGTCGTAGGCCGTGTGCAGAGGAGAGGCCCCGGTCTCTGCGCGTCCCTGACGGGCAGAACTCCAGCTCCATTCCTAGCAGCCGCCACCCGTGGATTCTGCGATCGCTAACACGTGCAGTCTGGCGTGCAGAGGCTCTGCACCCCCACGGAGCCTGCTGACGCCAGATGAGTGGGAGGGAGGCCCCGACACGCCGCCCTCTCGGCCCGTTGAACCCCAGTTGTCGTGTGTGAGTGAGTGTCAGTACGATGCACCTGGTGGCTCTGCCGAGTGCCCGTTGGCCTCTGCGAGCTTCCTTAGGACCTGATCTTGTCGTCCCGTGATAAAAGTTTCTGTCTAGTCAGAGGTGGTAGAAGGCTTGTTTCATTTCTTCTTTAACAATCCTAATGTGTGTAAACTCTACATCTTTCTCACTCCTACAAAGCAATTTCAAAAAAAGATAAAGCTTTTGGTATACCTTAGGGAGGAAAAGACAGGACATTGGTCAAATGTTATCCAAAGAGTCACCTCTATTTGGAAAGGTTGAAGACCCTCTTGCGGGCAGCCTGCTTACCAAGGACCACGCGAGGCCGAGGAGAGGAGGGAGAGGGAGGACCCTCAATCTAGGAGTTCTCCTCACTCAGACTCAGCATCCACACTGCTCAAACCAACTTCACCTCCCACCTCCGGAAAGAACTTCCAAGGTGTCATCCTACTTTGTGAGGGCCTGGGAATAATCACCAAGCCCAAGGCGATCCGAGGACACCTTCCAATGCTTTAGGCAGAGTTGTTTTAGCAGGAAATGTGCCACTGAGCAGCCCCTACAGGTGTCGACAGCTCGATGAGGAATTGAACTCCTTCAGACAGCATGGCCGCAGTGACTCAGGTCCTCTGAGTCCGAAGCGGAAGGTCAGAGGGCCACGCTCCGCTCTGCCACCGAAGCCTGTTTCCCGTTAGCAGGAATTACTGAGGATGACCGACAAAGGCAGAGCCATCTTGCCAGTTGTTGCTTGGTGGCGGTGGTTTTAAAAGTGCGGTGCCCCGGCTGCCACTGAATGACCTGCCTGTAGATGCCAAGGGGGGGTCGTGGTGAAAGGCCGCCAGGACTCCAGGTCTCTCCCCCACCAGGAGGAGTACGTGTGCGTGTGCTTCTCCTAGAGCTGTGACTTCCCGTTTCCGAGAATGGAGGGAGTCACTGGACGTGGCAGGGCAAGGCCTGCTTGGGCTTCAAGTCTCCTCTTGCAGAGCCACGCGTGCAGCCATGGAGGCGAAGGTGGTGGATCTTCAAGTAGAGTGTGGCTGCCTTCTTGGGTTTGGGATTGATTCTGTGTGGCGCACACGTCTCTGCCCTGTGTCACAACTTCCTGTGTGTGCTTCAGAGGTGTTACGATGCAGCCAGTTGCCGACACCCACTGCCCACCCTGCTCTTGGGGAGTTGGGGACGTGAGGAGCAGGCCACTGCCTGGCCTTTGGAACAGACTTGCTGTGCTCTTGCATTTGGTGAAAACTTCCCGGAATGACACTCAGTGACAGGCACTGATGCATCGGGCGCCGACATCATGCTAGGTCCTGCGGTTCTGTGGTAACTGTCCCCTTTGGATTCAGCCACTTCCACCAGGGAGAAATGGTCTTTAAGAAAGAGGCATGAACCGTTGTTTAGGGCCAGAATCTTTGTCCAGGAATGTCAGAAAGGTTGAGTAAGTCTGACTGCACGGAGTGAGTCTTTGTGGTTGCAAAGGTAAAGGAGAAGCAAGTTTTGCCTCAAGTATTTGAGCCTCTGTTTTCTCGGCAGTCAGCCCTGTAAAACCGGAAGTCTTACAATAGCTGCACTTCGTGTGCTAACCCTGAACCGGACTTTGCTCACAGAGACGGGCGATTGCTTCTGCAGGTAGGCCGTATGGAGCCCTCGTTAGGAAGTTCTAGATGTTTCCCGCAGATGTGGGAAATGGCCTTTTCCTTAATTCCACTTTTTAAGAGTATATTTTATTATTTGCATGAGCCCGAGAGGCGTAAAAGAGAGAGAGAGACAGAGAGACAGCACCCCCACAGGGTCTCAATGTCATCATCTGCCCCCGGCTTCAGCCAGCTTCAGACCATGGACACGTGTGTGCCTGGTGTGCTCGGAGTCTCTGGATGCAAAGTCAGGGTCAGCCACGTGGAGCATCACATTTTACCGCCGTGTCACCATCCAACCCCTTCACTCTCAGTTTTGATTGAGGTGCGTGGGCTGGGTTTCAGAGCCGACTCGAGGCGCTGCTTAACATCTTGAAGGGAGGAAGCTTCCGAGAGAGGCTGAGCAGCCACACTTGCGAGTCGAAGGTGCTTGTCCTAGTCCTCCAGGTGCCTCCTGGTCTGTCGTCTCAGCCACACTTCGGTGGAGGCAAAGGCAGGAAGAGCCGACATCCATGTGGCAGCTCCATGTTGTGGGACCAGCCGGCCGCCGTCAGCCAGCTGGTGCCACCCTGGGGGTGTTAGCGACGTGCGCACCACACTTAAATGCTGAGACCCGGGAGGCGCGGCTGATCCTTGAGAGCACACGACCCTTCTCAGCACGGATCAGAGTTAGGCCCAGCGAGATCGTGGGAGCTCCGGGCCCTTCCGGGGTGGGGGGTAACCTTAATTGTAGGGGAAGGCAGGAACAAGCAGATGAGAGACCTGGGTTGTTTCATGAGGATCCCTCCCGAGTCGCCCTTGACCAGGAGAGCCGTGCTGGCTTTTTCCTGGTGCCCAGATCTGGACAGAACCTACACATAGCCCTGTTGGCACCACCACCTGTGAATTCAGCGTGACCTCAGTCTCCGACCGTCCATTTAATTTGAGGTCAGAAGGCCTCGAGATCCGCCGCCAGCTCTGTTTGAACTCTTTTTCATGGAGCAGAACTCACAGCCCCCTCCGCCCTCCGACAGCCGAACATCCATTATTATTGTCTTATCGTCGTTATGTCTCTGGTGGCTGTGTGTGTGCATATGTGTTGTGTGGGGAACCGGCTTCTGTTTGGTTTCTCTTTTTCCCCCTCTTTCTTTATTTTAAGAAAATGACTGATTTCCTGAATAACTCTATTTTTAAAATTTTTGCCATAGGGCACATGCACTCACTGGAAAAAAGAGATAGACTGACCAAGACTATGTGTGAAAGCACCTTCTCCCCCTGGGGGCTGGCCACACCACAATCCCTTCACCTCCATTCTCCTCTCGGGATTTTGGGTACTCACGCACATACACCTGGTGTGTTTTTCAAGCTGCCGGGTCTGGGATTCAAACTACAGAGTGGGCCGTGGGGGATCCAGCTGTCTCAACCACCCACCATGGGCTGGCCTCTGAGTAATTTTCTTACATATGACAGTTTGGGTCATTGTTTGGAGGGCGCGTGTGTACATGTGTCCCTGTGGTGCTAGGTGAGACAGTGGTGTCGATTTGAGCTGCTTGGAGGGCATCCCGCAGAGCACCGTAAAGCCGGATGAGCACCCAGTTCCAGCCACCTGGAGCTGACCACATGCTTGGATCTCTGCCATTCTTCCCTCGGTCATACTGTCCCAGCGAGCGCCCCTTGAGTGGGACTCTTGTAGCAGTGAGCTTCAATGTCATCGTCCCTTTACTGACCCTTTACTGACACTACTCAGTTACCTGCCAGAAATTCAGGTGGTACTGAAAATGCTTTTTTTTTTTTTTTAAAAAAAAAAGAGATTGTTTTCTTATAGGGCTTGTGCACTTGCCAGAGGCACAGAAAGTGAGAAATCACCCCCCCAGGGGGGATGGCTATGCCACAATCTCTTCTCCTCCCTTCTCCTGGGATCTAGGGTACGTACACACATGTACCTGGCATGTTTTAAGCCACCGGGTCCAGGACTTGAACCACAGTTGACTACATGTGAGTCCAGCAACATAACCATTATGCCATCTGCTGGTTCCTGTACTGACCATATTTTATAATGGCTTTCGACTTTTGCACTCATTGAGAATTAATATGCTAACGCCTATTTTATTTTGTTTTTATACTTTGTTTTGTTTGTATAGGGGCGAGGATGCACTCAGGCCTTGACGGGCAGGCAGCATTTAAGCCTTGGCCAAGATCGCAAATGGGGCATCCATGTTCTTCTGCTCCATCCTGTTTAAAGCAGACACCTGCCAGTCAGTTTTTTTAATCTCTGATCAGTTTTTCTGTGTGTTTGAAGTGTATTTCTGTGTGCGTGTGCATGTGTGTGTGTGTGTGTCTCAAGTTTTTTGAAGAAAGACTTGTTTTTTATTCCATTAAAATTCCATCACTCCCACCCGTTTTCAGTTTAACAATATACAGGACCTTTGTAAATAACAGCAATTTTACCCTCCCCCTTCTTTTAACGTAAAGTTTTTTTGTGTTGTTTATGTGTACTTGAAATATTTCCATTAATTATGTCCATTTCTTCTTGGGGAAAAATCTCATCTTGTTTTTGAACGGAACTTCAAAGCTTCCCGCGTGTGGACCGCGCCGAAGCATCTTCTCACGCCAAAGCAGCACGATCCACATCTGTGCGCTCCGCCACCAGGCGGGGCGGGCCGCGCCTTCCGTCACTGCGGTCGGCGATGTCATGAAGATTGTGTGTGGGAGGGTCAGGTGGGGATTTGGTGTCGGCAGAACGAAACCTTGTGGTTAATTGTTTATTTGGCCGCAGTGGCGTTATCCCGCGGTCTGTAGGGTCCCCATCGGACTCGGTCGTCTGTTGGTCTGTCGCACCTCCTCCTGGGCAGCGCTGCTGATCAGAGGGACGCCCCGGTATGGTGTGCTTCAATGTAGCAGGAACTTCCAGCTGACTTACGTTCTCGCTTCTGCCATGGCACACGTGTGACCCTTCGTGTCTCCGAGCAGTTCCGCTTTCATGGTTTGCCGGCGCGGCCCATTGCTGTTGTCCAATAAAGCTTGTGTACTTTCTGCCTCGGGAGCACTGTTGTGTGTACGGAAACACGAACTCTGTGTCAAATGAGGACTTGGTATTAAAGTGCTCCTAATTTGTGCTCATCTCTTGGTATATAAGATGTAAAAATTTTTTTTCTAGTTAAACGATTTTGATTTGGGGGGAAAAAGCCAACACCCAAATCAGTGCATGCTGTTTATGATTCTGTACTCTTGCCCACCCCAGACATGTCAGAACTTCAGAAAAGCGTTTGACATAAATGGGGGAAAAGATGAACAGCCTAAGATTCATGCGGTATTTATACACCTGGTCCTGTGGCTTTGAAATCTCGTGGAATCTAGGGACGGAAGATGGAAGAACACAGTCACTTAAGTTTCTGGCGAAGGGTTTTAGCCTGTGTGTGGAAAGCAGAGGACATCGTTAAATGAATTCAACCCAGTGATGATTTCTTTTTTAGGACTTATTTCATTTATTATTATTTGTAAATTTTACCAGATTAAGAGAGAGGGAACGTGAGGAAGCAAGCCGCCAGGTCCGGGACTTAAACCACTGTTGGCCATGTGGGAGTCCAGCCCCAACCTAATGGTTTCGGTCAGAGCTGATTCTGTCCAGTAGGGGACAGACGTGGCCATATCAGATTGTTGCAGCTGGGGAGGGGCCACCGGCACCCCGTGGGCAGAGGCTGGGCTGCTCTGGCACAAGCTGATCTGGCCTGAAATGTCTGAAGGGCTGAGGCCAGAAGCTCTAATGTAATTAGCACACCCAGCATTGCCGTTTTGCTCTCTGCATTTGCAGAGCAGGAGGTACAGGTGTCTGGGAAGCAAGTGACAGCCCCCTGGCCGCTGGCTTAATTAGTAGCTCTGCAGCGTGGGTTGCTGTGTTTCCGTAGCTTTCAGTTGAAAGGGCACCCACGTGCTCTCTAAGGTGGAGGCCGAGGACACCTTGCATTAAATGTGCCCGCCAACCCTGCGTTTGCAGTGAAATTCCATGCCTGTGGGGACAGTCCTCCATCGCAGCCGCTAGGGAGCGCTTGAGGACCGCGGGACGTTTCTGTTTCCTGTTTTGCAGCACCAGCCTGGCCCAGCACGCCCGCCTGCCTGGAGTTTCAAGACGTTGCTTTCATTGCTTCAGAATTTATTTCATGGCCAACGACTCCGTTAAAAACAGACATTTCTTTTCATGCTGTTGACCAGAATATTTTGCTGGACTTAGTTTAAAAAAAAGGGGGGGGGGGAGAGAGGGGTGGGAAATAA